CGCCGTCCTCCGGCCTTGGCTGCGGGACAGGACGGGGAGCTGGGCGGCCCCGTCACCCTAGGGCAGCGCCCCTGACGGTGACCCCGGGCTGGGCTCCGCGCCTGCCCAGCGCGCGGCCACCGGGCGCCTCGCCCCAGCCGCCCCCGCCCCGCCGGCCCGCGGCCCCGCCCCCGGAGACCGAGGCAGGAAGCGGTGGCGGTGACGTGCGGCCGCGCTGACTGGCTGTTGCCCGCAGGCACCGCCACTGCCCGCAGCTTAAGGCGCAGGGCCGCGGGCGCCCAGGCGCAGAGTCTGTCGCGCCTGGCTGAGCCCCAGACGCCCGAGTTCGGCTTCCCGGCGCCCGCGCCCTCGCCGCGCCGCCCGGCCGTGGTCACCCCAAGCAGCCTAGGCCGTCCCAGCGGTCCCCGGCAGGGGGACGGGAAGGACGCAGAGCGGGCGCCCCAGGCCCCAGAGCGGAGCGCCGCGGATGCTCGGCCCCGGCCTCGGGCAGCCTGAGCTCCGGCCTGCGCTCCGGGTGTGCGCGCCTCCCCGAGTCCCCGGAGGGTCCCCCCACTTCTCCTCCAGCCCGCGGGAGTCGCTGCTCCTCCGGACTTTGTCGCGGGGCCGTCCGAAGGCTACGGAGCAGCTGCGGGGAGGAGGCTCGAGCTGACCCTTCCCAGTCCCTGCCCGACGCTCGGAAACTTGGCGCTACCTTTCGGGTCTTTGTCTCCCCGGGGACCCCGCACGGCCAAGAGCGCGCCAGGGACCATGGAGTTCGCGGCGTCTCCCAAGCCCCAGCTCTCCTCCCGGGCCAACGCTTTCTCCATCGCGGCGCTCATGTCCAGCGGCGGCTCCAAGGAGAAGGAGGCGGAGAGCACCATCAAACCCCTGGGTAAGTGGGGCTGGCCGCGCTGCCGCCCGCGCTCCCTCTGTCCCCTGCTGTGGGCGGGTGGCAACAAGCGGGGGTGGGGGGCTCTTCCCAGCCAGCCGCCCTTAGGACCTGGGCCCAGGGTCATACTTCTCAGGAGGGGGGTTTTTCCCCTTCTCTACCCAGTTTTTTGGGGGGTGTCACAGACTGTTGAACACCAGGAGTGTCGCATCTCCTTTGTGGACCACTTACTGTTTGTCTAGAATCCCGATATCAATCGGACACACGGTGTTTCTAGGTGTAAAATAACAAAAGCCCTTCTAAGACGAAGGGATTTACAGAGCATGTAACACCGGAGAATGGATTGGAAACCAAAGTGATGCTAAAGGCGTCAAAAGAAATCGATTTAATTTAGTTTTTGCTCTGGCTTGAACGGACTCACACTCAACCCCTGACACCGCTGTAGAGCCCCGCGGGATCAGCCAGCTTTCTCCCTGTGAACCATTTTCTCCCCAGAAACCGCAACCTACAGCAAAACTCATTCTATTTCCGTGGTCATTTTCAGCTGAGGGTGGCAAACCCATTCCCCAGTACCCAGTTCCCAAATTTCAGTTATATTAATTATTGAGCGATCTTGGCCATGTATAGAAGACTCTGGGCTCAGTAAAAAGAGAACAGGAGAGCGCTTTCCTTCGAGCCGGTGAACTGTGTGGAAGGAAACCGCCCGCTGGAGAGAAGTGTTTAAAAGCCATTTTACAACAGGGGGAGAAAGAAGTGTTCCATCACCAATCCTCGGGTCCTCGGGACAGCATTGTCCCACATCTTGATCATCTGATATCTTTAAAAATGCTGACAGCAGGGCCAGGGATTCATCTCAGTGGTTCTGCTGCCTGCCCCTCAAGCGCAAGGACCTGAGTTCGATCCCTGGTACCAAACAAACAAACAAACAAACAAAAATGCTGACAGTAATCGAATAGCAAACTTAATTTTTCCAACCATCCTCAACTCTTTCCTCATATCCTTCCCAACTGCTTAACATATTACATCCAATGCCATTGTGATAAGAAAGAGAACGATTTAAAAAGAAAATAAGGAACCTGGGCAGAGAGAAGAGAGCAGAAACCTGTGCATGACTTGGAGGCACGGAAAAGGAAGCCCGAAGTCTGGGAAAGCAGAGTGTCAGTCTCCTCTGAGGGCTTCACTCCTTCTCTCTCTTCTTCCCACCCACCATTCCTGAGCCTCAAAATCTGCCCAGAAATGGGAAATGGGAAACCTCAATTGTTTGCGGTGGGGGGGGGGATTAACTACCACTTTCAAAGTAGTACTCGTGAGATGGCCCAACAGTATCCACTGCCATCGGGGAGCCCTGAGTCCTTTATGAACACCCCCATCTCATTCGGTACCTTTGAGGAGAAGAGGGTTTCAGGTTAAAATTCCTGACAGACGTGTGCACAGCGGGCTGGGAAGCACGTGAGCTCCTGCTGCAGTGTCACTTCTTCATTTTCCTGCAAAAAAATCACCTACGTAAATTTCAAAATCCTAAACTATAAATCCATTCCCAGCTCCCCAAAGACCTTCCAGCTTCCCTCCTACCTCCCACCCACCATAATCTGTAAGAAAGAGGGACCATTTTCCTCCTGGAATTTGAGAACAGCTTGTGTTCTCCTTCTTGCCCTAGGCAGTTCAACAGAGCACAGTCACTAAATGCAAGGACTCCAGCAAAACAAATACGAGTGAACAAAGCAAATGAAGAGTTGTGCAGTTTGTTGGTAGAGAGGTGTCCACTGTGCCTGTGCCTGTCCATTTAAACATTCAGTCTACTGGAAAGAACTATGGAGCATTTCTGCTTCATTTTCTTCCTCCTCTGCTTCCTAACTGCAATGCTCTAGTAGTCTGTCCTTTAGGAAGTTTGCCTTTTTCAGTTGGAAAAGAAGAAAAATGTCAAGGTTACTTGTTAAATTCTTATAAAGACATTTTGTAAATGCATTTTTGAAAATATCACAAGAACATAAGATTTTGCTAATGCCTGATTCCTTTTCTTTGAATTTCAAATAATCAACACGAAACTGATTTAATTATTGTTAATTTAAAGCATTTCCCTGAGTTGGACTATCATTGCATTGAGAAAAAAAAAGTAAGTAAAAATTCCCTATTTTCCATTTGCCGGAGATCAGGGAGAAGTGGCCCACAGACATCATCCACACAGGCATGCAGACATTCAGAACTTGTTTCCAGCCCTCAAGGGTGCGTAGAAGTAGAGCAGAGCCGTTTAGAGATGGCTTTGCATTGCAAATTCAAGTAGTTTCTTTTTTTAAGGGATGGGAGATAATTGAGCCAAATACAAAAGTCCCCCTGTATCCCATCAAAGTGACTGCTGCAGTTGGTGCGGTATCAGCTGGCAGGAGAACGCTGGGCTCCAAAGCAGCAGTATTCTAAACTTCGGCTGGTTGTGAAGTGTTCAAATTCCCTGCTACCCGGGGGTTGAAATTATTTTCCTCACTTCCAGGACCTTTTCGGGAGGAAAAAAGTTACATACACCATGTAATAGTTTCATAGAATGATTTTTAAAATGTCCCAGGGAGCCTGCTTCTGTGACTTAGCAAGTTGGATGCCGGAGTCCTTCATAGGATCTCAGGCTGGGAGGGATGCTATAAAATTGTTCTGATCTTTCTTCATACAGCTGAAGTGACTTACCGTTATTGAAGCACATCCCTATCTTTCTTTTATCTGATTTTACTTTCCTTTTTTCTATTATGGAGAGAGGAAGAGAACTCCATCAGGGAAGGGAAAGCCCCACTCAAAGTGGAGGAAGCTCTAGGCAGAGTCTTCACTCCTTTGGTCTCTGTGGAAAAAAATCTGGTTGTCACCGAGGCAAGACTGGGACCATGTCCCACAGTCTGCAAAGTCTAGAATTGGGGAGGGAAAACCAGAGGAATATTTGCGTTTTATCTTTTGTGGTCACCATCCTTCTCTTCATTCCTCATAGTTTGACTCCCCAGTGGGGTTTCAGTCACGTGCAGTTCTAGAACTGAACCATTTGGTTAAATAACCTACCAAGCAGGGGGCCTTTCACTCCAGGAGCTGCCTGCAGGCTTCCCACAAGTGCTAGGTCCTGGCCGGAGTCCTGGAGTTTGTGAGTGTCACTCTCCCAGAGCCTAGTCCGGGTGCTTGCTTGGGATCTACTTTCTTCCCTGAATCTTTCCGGGTTGACAGTGAGAGCTACAGTTGTCCCTTCCCTGTGCCTGCAGAGCAATTCGTGGAGAAGTCGTCCTGCGCCCAGCCCCTGGCCGAGCTGACCAGCCTGGACGCTCAGGGGGAGTTCGGCGGAGCAGGCGGCAGCAGCCCGTCCTCCACCTCACTGTGCACGGAGCCTCTGATCCCCACCGCCCCCATCATCCCCAGCGAGGAAATGGCCAAAATCACCTGCAACCTGGAGACCAAGGAGCTGTGGGACAAGTTCCACGAGCTAGGCACAGAGATGATCATCACCAAGTCCGGCAGGTAGGCAGGCCTTGGAGGATGGGGCAGGGGACGAGGAGAGGCCTGAGGCGCGGAGGCTTTGCCGGGCTCTGGACTGGAGGGCTGGCGGGTCGTGGACAGAGGCAGTGTCCACCAAAGGCGGCTGCTTTCCCGGCACTGGCCTTGGGAAAGAGCTGTGGAAATGGATGTCTGCGATTGCGGGGCTGTGGCCCAGGGGATCCCCCCTGGGCCTGGGAAGAAGCCACAGGGACCAGAGACTGGGGCTCCTCTCCCTGCACTAGTCCCTGGGCTCTGGGTCAGAATTCCAGGGGGTCTGGATGTGGGGTCGCTGAGTGCTACAAGGGAAGGGGGTGGCTTTTCTTTAATCACACTCAGTTTGCTGTTTGCCGAAGCTGCAGCTCCTATTACAAATTAAAATTTAAACCTGAAGAAAGAAATTTGAAAGCTAAAATTCTGGTTGGAAGAGTGGTCCCTTGGCCCGGGACTGGGCAGGCCTGGCTGGCAAAGGCCTCCAAGGTCAGTGGCCTTGAACCAGATGGATCCTTCCAGCTCAATGCCCACGGGGTCTCCAAGACTCATTCCAAGAATCCCCACTGTCCCCCACGTGCACCACCGTGTCAGGTCTGGTGACTTTGGGTCCTCCGGAGTCTAAAGTCCTTGCCGTTGACTTGACATGATTACAGAGTTTCAGATTTTGGGGTGGTTGGAGCACAGAACTCTCACCTGGCAATGAGGTCTTGGCCCTTAAAATCCTGTACCTTGCAAACAAGTGCTTCTCTGTATTGCATCTCTGTGGCTTCCCAAGAAACCAAAGGGAGCACCTGAGGGTTGGGTAAGAGGGGAGGAAAGGAAAGGAGTGGCTCCCGACCCTCCTGCCTTAATTTGGGTCAGGCCGGTGGGACTTGTGAACAGAGCTAAGGTTCTCAGTCTCTCACTCTCTCTTTCTCTCTCTCTCCCCCTCTGCCAGGAGGATGTTTCCCACCATCCGGGTGTCATTTTCAGGCGTGGATCCCGAAGCCAAGTATATCGTGTTGATGGACATCGTGCCGGTAGACAACAAGAGGTACCGCTACGCCTACCACCGCTCCTCCTGGCTGGTGGCTGGCAAAGCTGATCCCCCGCTGCCCGCCAGGTTTGTTCCCCGCCAGCCTCCCCAAGCAAATGCGTTCTCCCTCGGTGAATTCTGAGCCAGTTTGTGTTTAAAGCAGCTGGCTCCGGCCTGAGCTTTTCCAAGCCTCCGTACTTCAGGACTGAATACAAAATGCATGGGTTAGTCTCCAAGAAAGGCAGAGCTTGTGCACTTAAAAATTGTCTTTCCTTATAATTTATTTCAGAGATTTCTTTACATTTCAGTTTGAAGACTCCTTAGAAAAGTGGACCTCTTGATGTCTATATAATTTCTAACTGGCTGCTTAAAACCAGACTAAGTAAACCTACTGATGAAATGGGTGCCCTAAAATCCTTTTTCAGAAGAATATATTTTAGCAACGTGGCTGCTAATTGTAAATCTTTGTTAACTTTGTTTTCAGTGCATCCTATATGCACAGAATAAGCATCATTTGGTAAAAATGTGTTACTTTTTAAGCCAGTAAAGGGAAAAAGATTTTTAAGAATAGCAGATTCTTAGGGCCGGGGATTTAGCTCAGTGGTTTCACCGCCTGCTGCGCAAGCGCAAGGACCGGAGTTCAATCCCTGGTACCAAAAAAAAAAAAAAGAATAGCAGATTCTTTTTTCCCCTCTACAATTTTTAGTGGGTGAACACAATTCAACAAGTTAATATTCTTCTGTGTGAAACACAATCTATTAGATATGATATATGATCGTTCTTGTGGCAGTTATTGCTTACAGTGTCTTCTGAGAGTTGGTTTTATGTTTTGGGTTCAAGAACCTCACCAGTTTTAAGCTGTTTCATGAGCAATATTTTTGTTATAATTGATTGAAAGTTCCTGTCAGAACTAAGAATTTATTTCGATGTACAGACTTTTTTGAAGCTATGGTTGTTTCTTTGTATCTAGTCCAGAGTCCTAGAAGGTACAGAATCAACACAATTTACACATCCATCAGCTAGAATACTGAGCTTTCTTAGTCGATCGCATTATTGAGTTTATAGTATACCAAGTGCACTAGAGAAGAGATGAACAGCAGTCTCTCAATTTTCCGTTCTCAAATGAGGTTGGGAAGCCCGCTTTTGCAACCCTTCCAAGTCAGTATTAAATAACAGGACTAAGAAATATTTTTAAAATGACAACTCATTTATTTAGTTAGTTAGTTGGTTGTACTAGGGATTGAATCTAGGGCCTTTGCACTGAGCTACATCTACAGCTCTCTTTTTTATTATTTCATTTTTAATTTTCTGACATAGTCCCACTGAGTTGCTAAATAGCCCAGGCTGGGCCTGACTTTTCAATCCTCCTGTCTCAGCCTCTCAGAGTGCTAGGATTACTGGCATGTGCCACCATACCCAGACACAAGTCACTTCTTTTAATTGAACAAGATGTACCAGTTCACAGCAGAGATCAAATTAATAAAATTAGTGGTTTTTAAAAAACTATTTCTTACCCAATTTGCTATTCTTTTTGAGCTTCTGTCCTAACTTTTCAATGTTGTTTTAGACCAGAGAAAAAAGGCAGAGAGGGAGACAGGGAGAGATCGAAATGTTTTAGCAGATTCCTTACCATTTTTTGTAAGCAAGCATTGCCTTTTTTTGTTTTGTTTTGTTTCCCTCAGCCTTTCCCCTAAGAAGTTAATCACTCTGATTTAACATACATTTTCTTCCTATCTGAAGGTATGGGAATGGTGCAGGCAGCAGACTTTGGAAATATGACATGTCTTGTTTATGTTACTAATCTGCTCTGGTTAGAGAAAGAAAGTATGTACCAATGCACTATCTCAACTGGAGCATGTTTAAGCTATTGCTGGAATTTTAAGACTGGGGAGGGGGTGAGATGGGGACGAGCTTCCTGTGTGTTTTCTCATTTATTCTAGTTCAGCTTGTTTATATTGATGTTAGATAAAAATATATAGTGCATCATGGGATTGAAATATTCTAGATAATTTAAGCAACTACGTTTTTTCTAATATTATAAGAAATAGTCAGCTATATTTTCTGTCTCCATAAAAGAAAGGGGAAGAACTTGGGCACTGAGAATTTTTGCATTTTGGTAGCAACTCCTTGTATTTCTAGGTCTTCGAAGCACTTTAGCCTAGACTGAAGTTCACTAGTCAGTTCTTTCTAATTAGAAGGAAGAAATAATGCTTGGCAATATTGAGTAACATTGGGCAAGACATTATTCATGATTTAAATAATGTTACATGTTCATATAGGACATCTTTTCTTTCAAGTAACTGATATTTAAATAAGTTATTTTTATTAATGTGATTACATAGAGTGACTGGTTTAAGAGGGAGCATTTTTCATCAACTAATAGGACTTCTAGTGATTTTGGACATTTTGGGGGGAGGTGGAATGTGGTATTGATCAATAAAACTACAGCATCACAAAAATCATGACTTTTCTTTTCTCTATTTACCGAAAACTTTTCTGTTTTTTTTTTCTGTTGTTGTTGTTTTAGACAGGAAGACAGACTTTATAGATATAGGAAGGGGATCTTGGCATGAAGAGGAAATAAGAAGGAGGAGAGGGAAAGATAAAAGTAAAAAAGGATCCAGATGTGATATGTATATGTACCAATTCCCCACAATGAATATATTTATTATGTATCACTAACATATACTAATAAAAATGATTTAGTAATTAAAAATAAAATTACAACTTTGGGAGGATGAAACTTCAGAAGCTACCATGCTATCAAAAAACGTTCTCATTGGGCCGGGAATTTAGCTCAGTGGTTTCACGGCCTGTTGCACAAGCGTAAGGACCCGAGTTCAATCCCCGGTACCAAAAAAAAAAAAAAAAAAAAAGAAAAAGAAAAAAATGTTCTCATGGAAAAGCAATTATTATGAACTCCCCACCTGAAACAACAGGTAGACAGAGGCCTCCAGTCTTTAAATCTTCTGCCGGTCTGGTCAGATCCAGGAGCACGGCCAACCCACACTGTGCTTTGCTCCTGCAGGGCTTGGCGAGTTCCAACCCCCATGAGGTTTGAATCCTTTGAGCCCAGCCCTTTCTCATGACAAACCACAGCGCAGACTTCTGGCTCTTTACATGAATATTGTAAAGAAAGGTTTTGCTGACGTTTTCCCAACCAAAACGTTTATGTCTGTTATAAGGATCCTATACAAAATGTACAGAGGAATGACCTGTTATATGGACAAAGGAATTTGTCAGTGCTGGCCTGTAGCTCAGCGGTAGAGTATGTGGTATGCATGAGACCCTGGGTTCAATCCCCAACACCAGAAAAAAAAAAAGAAAAAGAATTTTTTCTATTAAAACAAAGATTTCACCTTCCTCATCATTAATTCTGTAATTTCCCTCTGATTTTGGAAAGATTATGTCATTGTACTAGCATTAGGATTTCCAAAGAGCTGTACTTAGGGGGATGACCACAGGGAAAGGAATAGTGTGTGTGTTACAGTGAGTAAAAGTGTGTCTTGCACATAGCAGCAGATCCATAAAGGATAAAAGCATTTTTTTTTGTTTTGCTTAAGCTGTTTACAAATAAATAAATTGAGTAAATCAAAGCTTATCCAGCCTTAAATGCTTCTTTAGTGAGTGCATCAACTGATACAAGAAGAGTATGTGTAGTGTTTAAAGTACCAGAAGGAGTGACAGACACTCATCTCTGATCTGTGGGCTATTGAACATTCGCCCCAGCTGGGTCGTGTGGTGCACACCTGTAACCCAGCACTCTGGGAGACTGTGGCAGGAGCCACAAACGGCAAACTTGAGCCCAGCTTGGACAGCTTAGTGACTTAGTGAGACCCTGTCTCAAAGTAAAAAATAAAAAATGAACTGGGAATGTACCTCAAGTGCAAAGGCCCCGAGTTCAGTACTCAACACTGGGGGAAAAAAATCTCTATGTATCTGTGCTAAAATCACTTTGTCTTATATTTGTAAAGTACACATGCTTTCAATGGAACAACTTAAGTTTAAACAAATGTGTTGTCTAAAGTTGTTTCCTCTTCCAAATTTTTGTTTTCATTGTTCTTCAGTGATGGTTGTAATAAAAACTCATGCAATTAGTGTAAACTACTCTTTCTTCGGAAAATATCTACAATGAGATTTTTATATTTGATAGACACAGAATAGTAGCTAACTACATAGATGAAATAACCTATCTTTAAAAACTGGCTTACTCAGCACATAGTAGATTTATTAAGTTTTACCCCTTTTAGATCATTGGTACATGAAGAAATGCATTAGGTGTTTTAGTTATTTTTGCATTTCTGTGTTAATAAATTTGAGATACGTAAAGCAAATAGAACAGGCTATGTCTAAGAGGCTACTGTGTTCTTTAGAATCAGTGCATTTTATAACCCAGAGACAGACTTTTAAAAAATATCTCAATACAGTTTTCTCATAATTTCCTTAGGCTCTATGTGCACCCTGACTCTCCCTTTACTGGGGAGCAGCTACTCAAACAGATGGTGTCCTTTGAAAAGGTGAAACTCACCAACAATGAACTGGATCAACATGGCCACGTAAGTATGAGGCACCTTGGTCATGTGGGGTCCCCTGGACGGAAGCAACAAGTCACACCAAGCGTCCTCTCTCAGCCCCTTCTCCTCTCCCTCTCCACCTCCACTCTCCATCTCAGTCATTGTGTGAGCACATGTGTGAGTTCTTCAGGAGACCATGACTGCTTTTGTCCAGAAGTCATGTGCAGGATCTGAGGGCCCTTTCTGTTCAGAAGGGTCTGGGACCTTCTGCACCATGGATTTCCTAGCACACCTGCAGCTGCTTTCTCACTGAGCCAGGGAAACATGGAGAACATGCACTTTTGGAGGTGATCCGAAACCTCTCATTAGGTTAAGCATCTGACTGTTGATGGTAGGACGTAAGCACAGCGTGAAAGAGATGAGTTCAGACCTCTCGGGGGCCCTGTCAATATGCAGAACACATTCCCATGAGATGCAACAGAACACAAGGGCTGTCTTGCCAAAGGAGTTTACAAAAATGCTTTTTACTCATTATGCATCATTTTCGTAGAGTTTGATGCCAGGCCTGGTGGTCCCTACCTGTAATCCCAACCCTCTGGGAAATTCAAGCTCAGCCTGGCCAACTTGACCCTGTCTCAAAATGAAAAGATAACAATCTAGGGATGTAGCTCAGTGCAAAGACCCTGGATTAAATCTCCACTATTGCAGGGAAAAAAAGACTCCTTGCAATTAAAAACAAAACACATTTGATTTTCTATCAGTTCAGTGAAATGTGGAAAAAAGGGAAATTACAGCTCTGTGCTCTTAACAATATTTAATAGAGCAGGCAGCCTTTGAAGGCCTCAGCACATTTTACACAATTCTTCTTTAAGGTGTGATCTGTGGTAAGATTCAGTGCTCTTAAATAAAAATTACATGCAAATTCTGTTTTATACTTAGGTTAAGGGAACTTGCAGTCTTGGCAACTTCTTATTGATGAGGTTGTTTTGTTTTATAAGACAGAACATGGGTCTTTCCATCCTCTCTCTCTCTCTCTGTCTCTCTATCTCTGTAGTGGAGATTGAACTCAGGGCCTCTCACTGAGCTACATGCCTGACCCTTTTCAAAAATGTATTCTAATAATTACTGTAATTGATACATGTTTGCAACGCATGAAATTTACATTTGATTCAAAGGATAGCTCTCTATTTATCTATGTCTTTATCTTTTTAATTCCCCACCTTTATTTTACTCTTCTTTTATAATTGGACTTCTTGTATGAAAGAAATCAAGTGATATTTAACTTTTTGTGTCTGATTTATTTCACTTAACATAATGTTCTCAAGATCCATCTATTTTCTTATAGATGACTTGAATTCATACTCCTTTATGGTTGAATAGAGTTCTATTGTGTATATACCACATTTTCTTTATCTATTTGTCTATTGATGGGTATCTAGGCTGTTTTCACATTTTAGCTGTTGTGAATCTTGCTGCTATGAATATGAGTATGCCTGTATTACTGTAATATGATGATGACTTTAACTCTTCTGGGAAGATACCTAGAAGGGAGATAGCTGTGTCAAATGGAATTTCTAGTTTTAGTTTTCTAGGGAATTTCCACACTGATTTCCATAGTGGCTGTATTATTTTACATTCCCACCAACAATGGTATAAGGGTTTATTGCCCCCACAGCCTTGTCACCATTTGTTTTGTGTGTGTGTGTGTGTGTGTGTGTGTGTGTGTGTGTATTCTTGATGGTAGCCCTACTTATTAGGGTGAGATAGAATCTCAAAGTTGTTTTAATTTGCATTTTCCTAGTGGCTAAAGATGATGGACATTTTTTCATATGTTTATTGGCCATTTGTACTTCTTTTAAGAAATGTATATTTACTTTACTTACCCATTTTTTGGAACAGGTTATTGATTTGGGTTTTTTTTTTATTCTTTTGTATATTCTAGATATTAATCCTCTACAAAAAGAATAGTTAGGAAAATTTTTTTCCCGTTTTGTCTTTTCACTCTGTTAATAAACATGGGTATTTTCATAGTTTCCTTCCTTGGCTTAGATAGTCTGGTATAATTATTCTCCCATCTCTTGTATTAAATAAAGCTCTTATTACTGAAGGTTTTAGTTTTTACTGGATCTGTGCAATTTAGAGGAAGTGCTTCAAAATCTTCCTCAAGATGGATTTAAGTAGATAATCATTTAGAAAGTTCTAGATATGGTTTCAAACGGTTGGGTTGAACTGGAACCAAATACAGCATTCCAACCATCAAACAAGCAAGTCAGGAGTAAGCAGGTTAAGGTAGGACAGCAAATGGTGCTGTTGAAATACTATATTGAGAGTAAGTTAATATGCTCCTGGTTTTTTACGTATTGGAAAAGATATTTGACCTTTAAGGGTGTTGTCACAATTTTTTCTTATCTCTTTTTAAAATGTAGGATGCCTTCATTCATAAATTTTTTTCAGGTTAAAATGTACGAATTATGAACTGTCTGAGAGGTGGGGGAGGAACTGGGAATTGTACTCAGGGCCATAACACTGAGCTATATTCCCAACCCTTTTAAAATTCTTTATTCTGAGACAGAGTCTCTCACTAAGTTAAGTTTTCCAAGCTGGTCTCAAACTTAATGATCCTCCTGCCTCAGCCACCCACTCTGCTGGGATTACAGCTGTGCACCACAATGACAGCTTGAGTGATATTGTTTATATCAGTAATCACTCTTAATCTCATTCATATTAAAATTTCTTGGGCTCCAATGCAAATCTTTGTAAGAAAAAAGAAATTCTTTTCTGGTCCTCATATTTTTCTATATGTGAAGTTTGTAGAAGAATGATTTGGGACTTTGCAGGATAACCTGAGGGTTTTGCTCTCCAGAATGAAATGTTTTTCGTATAGGGTCGGCTTCATGGGTAAGAATGGTACTAAGCTGGATTTCAGGAGCTCTGGGTTCTTGCCAGATAGTGCCAAGATTAGATCCTGCCAAATTGTTTAGTCTTAGATGGTTTCTTGTATCCATTTTAGCTTCTGAACTTATGATTTAATATAACTGTTTATCATCACAATTGGTATGTTCTGAAAAGTACAAGAATTTTTAGATACTATGTTTAGCCAATTTTTGAAGCAGTTTTGAAGAACTCTTATAGATGCATTTAGTTTTATAACAGAAAAATTATTCATTTATTTCTTCAGTAAAGCAGGATCCAAATTCCCACCAGTGTTGCTCAGCCCCATGAGGCCTTGAGCAGAGTCAGAAAGTGTTGGATTCTGGCTGTGCAGGGACCATTCTCAAAGGAACTTGGTCTAGGGTGAGGGGAGTGAGGAGAGGAATGTTATTTAAAGCTCAGGGTTTTTAATTTTAGTTTATGAATGTGTGGGTGGGTAGGTAAAATACCTGCTTTGAAAATTCTTCCTATTTTCTTAGTAGAGTATATAAGGATTGTTGAAGTTTTTTTCTCAATATCAGGGAACAAAGATTTGCTTTTATTGCTTCAGGTTTATTCCACTTTTATGATTAAACACGAATATCTTGAAGTCCTTGGAATAAATGCATTATACAATGAGATGACATCATTTTTTTCTTAAATTCTTTTATTGGTACATTTTAGGTATACAACACAATTACATTTCTCATTGGGAACTTGTACCTTTACATAATGCATCTTGGTTCTTATTTTTTCCCCATTCCTAGCCCTCCCTTCACCCCCTCCACCCTTCCCTATTTACAAAGACTTTATTTCCATTTTTTCCATTTCTCAGCATTTTTCCTTTCCCTTCTTTCCTTTCCCCTGCCCCTCCCACTACCCCTTCCCCTTTGGACCTTTTCTTCCTATTTTGCATTATCGATTATTCATTCTAATCATTGGTACATTTTAGGTATACAATATAATGACATTCATCATTGGAAATTTCCACCTTTACACAGTCTCTCTTGGTTCTTATTTTTCACCCTTGCCCAGCCCTCCCTTCAACCCCCCCATTCCTCCCTATTTACAAAGATTTTGTTCCTATTTTTCCATTTTCTCATATTAATCCCATTCCCTTCTGTCCTTTCTCCTAGCCCTCCCACTTCCTTCCCCTTTGCCCCTTTTCTTCCTATTTCACATTACCTATTACACATTTTAGTCCTTATTTACACTTTCAGTTTCTCACACCAGAGAAACTATTTGGTATTTGTACATGTGTGTCCTATTTATTTCACTTAAGAGTATCGCCTCAATGTGCATCCACTTAGCTATAAATGTCTCTAATTTCTCATTTTTTATGGCTGAGAAATACTCCATTTTATTAAAAAAACACATTTTCTTTATCCAGGATGACATCATTTTTTTAAAGTTTATTTTGATTCATTGAAGATCTCATTTGTTTCCTATTCTGGCATGAGATCACACAAAGTAGCATGGACAAATTCAGCTCCTCTCCCCATTAACTTTAAGTTGGGCTAAAGTTAAAGACTGGCAACAAGAGATTTGTTATATAGCAGATCCCTTCATAACCCCAGGAGCTTGGTCCTAGGACCTCCTAAGAGAAGCAAAACTCATGGATACTCAAGACTCTCATATAAAATAGAACAGTGGTTACACATAACCTCTCAAATCCTTTAACATCTCTAGAGTCCTTACACTACTTAATATAATGTAAATGGTACAGTTATAGCTGTTATGCTCTATTGTTTAGGGAATAATGTAAGAATAAACTCTGCATGTTCAGTACAGGTGCAGTTTTTTGAAAAGACACTTTTGATCTAAGGTTAGTTAAATCCATAGCGGTCCACAGGCATACCAGTTGTCCCACAATGCTTACTATATAACTCTGCTAACACCAAAAGAAAATGAGGAAGCCATCAGTCACAGTATTACCAGCAGCCACCAGCACTGCCTTCCATCCTACCACACCATTTATGAAATGCTTCCCAAGGATCTCTGCTGGGAGCTTGGTGGACCATACACAATGTGCACCTCCCATCCCAGCAAAGAAAGACCCAATTTTGCAGATTTATATAGGAGATTTAGGAGGTAGTAAGGAAGATGGGGGATATTTTCTTATGTCTAAAAATGAATTTTGTCACTCAGATTTCATAATGGCAGATTTTGTTTATATGTTGTTTAGAAGATAAATGAAAAAATACAGTTTCTTAGCTGCCTTGCTAACCAGGGTGTGTTTGTCATTTCTAAGAATCTGGCAGCTTTTATTAGCTACAGAATGGAAGATGGCCATTGCTGTGATTGAGGTGTAGTTTTATAACTGGCAGTTAGGAATCAAGGACGCTGTCATCATCATAATAATAGAGTTCACCGTCACACAGAGCTCTTGCTGTTTCCTAGGTACTTTGTAAGGGTTACATCCTCTAACCGTGAGGTTAGAGGTACTGCTGGTCCTGCTTTTGCATTTGAGAAAACTAAAAGCAGGAGAGGTGAGGTCACTTGGCTCAAGATTAAAGAACTAGAATGTGGAGTTTTGGGATTCTAACCCAGATCTGTCTAATACCACACTGCTTTCTAAATTGTTTTATCTTTTCTCCCTAAATAACAACCTGGCCTCCTCGAATATATATTTTATTTTAGAAAGTTTAGATGTGCATTTTTTAGTCTAACTAGGCTAACAAAAATATTTTAAAGACTTGATTTTAAAACATAAATAAAATGTATCCCTCCACATGACCCCCACACCCTTTCATTTTAGAAAGAGCCTTGAAACAACCCGTATTATTTGCAGGTTTTGGTAAAATGTTATTCACAATGATGATTCCACTGTGTCATGTGAAAATGATCTGCCTAACAAAGGAAAGGATAGATCCTAATCTTCAAATTGAATTTGAAATTTAGATTGTATGGTCCTGGCTTTGCCTGCATGTGCTTTGGCCTGTTTAGCCGCATAAGTCTGTACGATTCAGTACTTCCCATCTGTTCATCATAGATAATTCTGAACTCAATGCATAAGTACCAGCCTCGGGTGCACATCATTAAGAAGAAAGACCACACGGCCTCGCTGCTCAATCTGAAGTCTGAGGAATTCAGAACGTTCATCTTTCCAGAGACAGTCTTCACGGCGGTCACAGCTTACCAGAATCAGCTGGTGAGTACAAGTCACAGCAGGGCACCTAGGATGTGGTATTCAGGACGGATGTGCACTTTGGAGAGAGGATTAGATGGCAGCCCTAGGAGCTCTAAGAGTGTGTTCAGTGATGACAGATCATATCGTTTTCTTTTCTAGAATCTTTATACTCTAGGTCCAGTGGTTCACTCACCACTCCCTGGCTCAAGCTTGTCCTAATCTGCCACCACCTTCTGCTTGCTTCTCCTTCTCTTCTTCTTCCTCCTCCCCCCTCTTCTCTTCCTTCTTCTTCCTCTTCTCTTCCTCTTTATCCTCCTCCTCCTCCTTCTTTTCTTCTTCTTGTTCTTGTTCTTTTCTTCTTCATGTAGTACTGGAGACTGAAACAGAAGCCTTCACACTGGGCTACATCTCCAGCCATTTGTTTGTTTGTTCATTCGTTTGTTTGTTTATTTATTTATTTATTTATTGAGACTAAGTCTTGTTAAGTTCCTAAATTGCCCAGGCTGGGTGCTGGGCTCAAGCTTATGGTTCTTCTGCCTCAGCTTCCCAGAGTGCTGAGATTACCTAATTCTGCCTTCTCAATTTTTCTTCTCTGGAAGATTACCCACTTCCTCCCCTTCTTCCTGGTAACATGCAGAACCATATTCTTATTGCTTCATAAAATTTAAGAGTTCAATTTTTCTGATCAATTAAACACACATCTTCGACTGCCTGAGCTACTGATACTTTAGATATTTTGTGATATTTAAGTATCTTATTCTACTGTAATTTAGTATAAGATAATTCTAGTAAAATGGCTTTAATGGCTCTTTAGACAATAAACTACAGAATGTAAACCATTATGTATTTAATTAACATCAAGATATCCAATTTATAATATTGAGTTCTATATCTTCTCTCTGTGGTACAACACGTTTCAGATTTATCCATTTTTTTCATCCATGAGGTTTTGTCTAACTTTGTAAATACCCATCAAAACCCACTGAGAGCCCAACCCGCTGAACACATCCCCATACATTTTCTCCTTTCACAGTCTGCAGAGCTTGGCGGGCTTGTGGAATAGTAATACTCTCTATAGGAGGAGGCTGGGACCAGGAGAGCATGAGCTACTTTTCCATAGAGGAAAGACCAGAAGTAAAATTTTCTTTTAGGTACTGAGGATTGAGTCCAGGACTCTCACACCGGGCTACATTTCCAGTCCCTTTTTGATGTTTTGTTTTTAAATTTTGAGACAGGGTCTTGCTAAGTCACTGAGCTGCCCAAGCTGGGCTCAAACTTGCAGTGGTCCTACCTCAGCCTCCCAGAGTACACCAGCCAGAGAGATGCACCTCCCAGGGTGCATCAGCCTGCACACCATGCCCAGCTAGAATGCCATTTGAAATTTAGATACTTCAGTAACAGGAACTCATACTCTCAGTTTACTTAAACCTGACTGTTCATAGCCCTCCTAGGACTTTGTATCTTGCCTTTTCTATCTGATTAGCTGTAGGTAGTCTCCTGTTGAGATACTATATTTTGGGCTCCAAATAAATAGCTCTTAGGGGCTGTCTGTGGGGGTACCCAGAGTCCATCCTGGGATGGCCAAGCTGAGGATATATGGGGCAGTCTTTTTGGAAAAGCCAGATGCAGCTGAGAAAATGCAGGCCCAGAGAGAGGCTGTGGGCCATTGGCCAGAGTGGACATGGAAAGCTTAAGCGGCTCTATTTCCTGTAGGACTCTGACTAGATCTCATTTCCTCACCATGGCTGCCACTTTGTTTACCTAAAAACTGGGCTGGCAACTAAACAGAGCTCTTAGGGGTCTGCTGTGAAGATCAGATGTGGTGTAAATAAACTGCCTTTGCAAACTGTGAGGCTGCACCATCTCAGGAATGTCAAAAGAGAATTTGTCACCATTTGGATTTTAAAATCTTAGTGGTGTGTTTTTTTAATGAGATAAAAGAGGACGTGCTTGTTATCATGTGAACCATCTTACTGTAAAAGCAAAGCACTGTAGCTGTTCAGTTATCTTCCAAGTGACAACACAGGAGGGCAAACTTTCATAGAATGCCCAGACTAAAGCTCTGGGTGTCAACTGAAGTCCACAAAAGCCCCAAACCAGTGCAGTTCCCTAGAAACCTGTCATGGAACTCAACTCTCATAGATTCAGAAACATTCAATTCATTTTGCACTAATTAAATTTATAACTTAAAATACTAGATTTGTAAAACTTTAAGAAGTCCTGTTGATGGTTTAGAATAAAATAAAAAGTTGTCATATGAAAATTTCAATGCTTTTATTAAAATTCTCTATGCAAATGGTTAAAGCAAGAATATAAGTAAAGTGTGTGTGTGTGTATTAGTAAAAATTATAGAGCTAGAACAAAAAAACTAAAGGAAGCTTCTAAACATAATCCCTTAGATTTTGTTTAATAGGTGACAGAGCCATCCTAAATTAATAGAGGCAGGGCCTCTTATCAGTACACTGAAATAAGAGAGTATTATTATTTGATTATAATGACTAACATTTGGGTACTTACTATGCATAAAACACCATTCAAAGGGCCTTATCTTATTTAATCTTTACAATGATATTATGAAATAGGAACCGTATTGTTTTTATTCTGCATTGAGAGTTGGGGAAACTGAGGCATGAGTTAAAGTCACCCAGAGTGACCTGGCTACTCCCGTCACAGATTTTAATCCAGGGGGTTAGATTTGAGAGTGGCTGTCCTTAACTTCCTTGCTGCTGTCCAGAATGTCACCTCCTCTCAGTTTGACTCTGATGGGCTCTGAGAGCTCTGATGGCCTCAATTTCAGAGGATTTCAGTTCTTTTTCTTCCCTCGTCCCCCTGCCCTGTCCTCTGTCTTCTTTTAAACAAGCACTCACTGCTCAGGGTGCTGTGCACATGCACACTGGCAAGTGTAGCAGGCGGGTCCCATCCTAAGCTGCAGCTCAGGAAATCTGCCAGTGCTGGCAGTGGCCAGTAGGAGCCACAGGCTTTAATGACATTATCTCTTCAGTTTTTCTTCCACTCAACTATTTTAGTTAGAAAAACTTCAAATATACAAAAAGTATCCCATGTAGCTGCCACTCAGATTCAACAATAACATTTTCTCCAGTTTGCTTCTCTTCCCTTTCTCTCCCTTCTTTCTCCTCTGTATTCACACATACTTTCCCCTCCCCTGAATCATTTGACACAAACATGTGTGACATCATGACACTTCTAAAGACTTCTATGGCAATAAGAATATTATTTTTGAATCATAAATATTTATTGCAGCGAAGAAAATTACCAGGAATTATTCTTTAATATCACCTAATATTCAGTTTAATTAAAAATGTTAGAATGGATAAATAATGCCCTTTATAACATTTTTTTTTCTACTTGGGAACTAGGATCCAACCAAAGTTCATGATTTGAATTTATTATTTTTAGTTGAGAAAAATCTTCTTACATTAAAAAAATAATCTTTTTGAATTCTGACACATCCTCCAAGGAAGCCCCATGAGTACCATTCTCTAGATGAAGAAACTGAGGCTCAGAATGATTAGGATACTCTCCCAAGGCCACAGATTTGACAAGTGACAGATCTAGATATTCTGGCTCTTAGTTTCTCTGTTTGGTGGCATCATGATATATTGTGAGACCAAGGAAATGACCATTGTCAGGGTCAAACATTTGAAAACTGAATTTGATAACTTGCTAAATTAAAATAGATTGATTCTGAGTAATGCAGATTCCAGTGCTAGTTGCTCCTCTTGATAATATTTATTTCTGCTTGATATTGCAAATGGGCTCAAAGTTCACCTATAGGAACTGTGGCATTCTTCATTGGATCATGAAGTATAAAGATTAATATGGTTATCGCATCATTCCATTGATGAGTATCCCACAATGGAAGCAACTAAATTCAGAATTAATTTCCTCAATAGACACTTCTGTCTCTCAGTTTATTTCTGTACAGCCATCATTAAAACCGTAGACGTTAGGGGCCGGGGATTTAGCTCAGTAGTTCTGCCGCCTGCTCTCTAAGCACAAGGACCTGAGTCCAATCCCAGGTACAAAAAAACCCAAAAAAAATCATAGACCTTAGCATAAAGCCAAATATATATCTGAATTAATAGTCAAAGCCTTGACTTGATATTCTAATAGTCCAGTTTTGCAAGTGGTTTATAAATGTGAGTCACAATTCATATGGCATAAAAAACGAGAAATTAGACACATTTATTGCTAAATGGATCCACATTGAGGAGATACTCTTAAGTGAAATAAATAGAACACACGTGTAAATACTGAATAGTTTCTCTAGTGTGAGAAACTGAAAGTGTAAATAAGGACTAAAAGGTATAATAGATAATGTGAAATAGGAAGAAAAGGGGCAAAAGGGAAGGGGTAGGGGAAAGGAAAGAAGGGAATGGAATTAATATGAGAAAATGAAAAAAAGGAAACAAAGTCTTTGTAAATAGGGAGGGATGGAGGGATTGAAGGGAGGGCAGGGAAAGGGGGAAAAAATAAGAACCAAGAGAGATTATGTAAAGGTGCAAATTTCCAATGATGGATGTCATTATATTGTATACCTAAAATGTACCAATAAAAGGATATACAAAAAAAAGGACGATAATTTCCTCTGTGAAAAAAAATTCATATGGCAGATGCTCAAAAAACATATGGGTTGAATATATTAATTAGTGCATTACCATTTTTACTAGTTCTATGCCATTTTTAAAGTTATCCTTAACTGTTCCTGGCCCTCCCCACGTCAGTTGCTTCTTCAGCACTATACTAAGTTTGAGTATTGGTTTTCCTAGAGTAAACAGATATAAAAACATGTGAGGTAGAAACAAAATAAATATATACTATGTATGGCAGAAACATTGGCATTTTTACACGCACAAAGAAAAAATATGAAGTTCATATTTAGGAACACTTTCATATCCCTTAAACTTTAGATAGAACTGTTATTATGCTATTATGCCTGTTAAAATTGAAATTGAAATTTTTAATAGATTTTGTAAGAAAAAACCTTCTCATTAATTGAGGCTGATAACTTTATTTATAAGTAGTGGAAATGGGACCTTGTTTTGCTATTTCTTTTTCTGGTTTTTGCAAGGGGACGATTGCATTTCTTTCCATTATTAGGTAAAAGCTAAATACATTACTTTCAACAAACTATTTTTTAATTTAAGATTTAAAGGTCACGCGTGACTTCTGCACAGGCAGATCATTCTGCAGAGTTGAAGTGTAGGTCAGGTTTCATTTCTAAATGCCTTCAGTCAGATCTTCTCTCGATAATTGGAGAAATGGTCTCTGAGGGCCAATTTCCCCCAGGGCTAGGAAGCCCTCCGGACTCAAGTCCAACAATGTCCAGGAGGAACAAGCTCTGCAGAAGCCCCTTCCCAGGCACAGAGGTGGTGTCAGAATCTGTGTTTCTGTGTGCAGGGTGGAGATGCTAAACGAGGGGACCTTCTGGCTAGGAGATGCATTGTGTTCTGCATCGTTACCATGGTACATGAGGAAACAGTGTTATGTCGGGGCCTGAACTAGCAGTAATTTGGCTGTGTGTTGATGGGTACTCAGCGGAGATTTCTGAAGCACATATTGCTGTCCTGACTCATTAATATTTTCTCTGCGCCATGTGGGAAATACTGCTGCTTTAAATTTTGCTTTGGAGTGATGAAGAAGCGGCACCTTTGGTTCTCTGGAAATAACACTTAGTGGTTGATTGATTCATTCATTCATCATTCATCTGCTGCACTGGGGATTGAACCCAGGGTCTTCACATTGAACTACATACCCAACCTTTTTGTTTTGTTTTTTTGAGACAAGCTCTTACTAAGTCACTAAGTTGCCCAGGCTGAGCTCAAATTTGCAATCCTCCTGCCTCAGCCTCCCAGAGTTCTGGGATTACTAGCATGTGCCACACACCTCCAGTTGGGTTATTTTTTGATAATCCTTTCAGTATGACCTTTGACAAGGGTAATATTGTCCAATGGACTGACAAGCTGCAGGGTCCCTCTATTAGAGCAAGAATGGGCTGATGTCCAGCTGTCTACAGTCAACCCCTTTTTCTCATCAGTTCTCACAGTGCTCTTTTTTTCAGTTATCACAGATTTCATAAAACTGCACCTTTGAAAGTGAATTTCTGGGCCGGGGATTTAGCTCAGTGGCACCGTGCCTGCCTTGGAAGCACCAAGGTCCTGAATTTGATCCCCAGTATAGGAAAAAAAAAAAAAGGAAGTGAATTTATTTAAATGTCATAGAATAAAATCTACATTTGACCTTTTGATATATGTTAGCTAGAATGTGAACATTTTACTATTTAAAAATTATTTTATCTTAAAATTAAAAAACAGTATGAAGTGCTTTTGAGTAAACATACAGTTTCACCTAGGTTGTAACTGCTTAAAAAGGCAATCATATTTCAGGCTGCTTGGTTTTGAACTAAAGCTCCACAAATCTTTCCCAGTTATTATTGCAGACACCTGGAATATTCCATCTCCACTTGGTTCCCACTAAGTTTGAGAGACTCACAAATAAATTTATCCCATAGGCCTTGAGCTGCTGCTTAGGACTTTAGAAACCCAGAGAATAAATAATTTAAAGATCCAAATAAAAGATAGATATTACAAAAAGGGAGACTGATCTTTTTGCAACTGGGAAGCAAAACTAGAGATGGAGGGGAGAGGAGAAAGAGAGAAAGAGGAAGTAGAAAGAATTAAGGTGTGTTATGTACATCTATCAGCTCCCTACCATGAATGTATTCATTATTTACAACAAATATGTACTAAAAGACATAGAAGAAAGAGTATGCATGTTAAAAAAAAAATGTCTGGGATATAGCTCAGCACTCTCTGGATTTAATCCGAAGAATAAAATAAAATGACATAAAAATAGTGTCTACTCAAAGCCTCCATGCAATTTTAGGGACAATAAATTCATTCAACTTTTCTCCTCTAATATCTGAACAGAATTATTTTCTCTGGAATTGGATAAAATGGCCCACAAAGAAAGCAAATATCTGGTAAATGTCCCAAATCCTTTTTTTCTAATAGATCCCCTAAATTTAAGTCATTGCTGAACCTAATTGGTAAATCTGGATGTTCAGCCCCATGCGCTACTCTTGCAACTTTTCTGAATTTCAAACTGCAGAGTGCAGAGAAAAAGTTAACATGGAAACTTCTAAGGGTTATGGAAGCTGAGTTTCAAAGCTTTTGGAAGTAGATAATTCTAATAATGAAAGAAAATCCAGAGAAATCTGAAAACTCACACAGAATTGACTCAGCTCCCTTGTGCAGAGTCACAACAGTAACCCTAGGGAAGCGGGCAGCCCCATTGGTTGAACCACACACGTGTTTTGAGAGCAATACTCAGGATTTAAGGGGCAACACACTCATCAGGGTCTGGGCTGTTACATTTGGAAATGTGAAGAACAGACAGAAATTGAAAACCCTTTTCAGGGACAAAGTATTTGACCATTAGAGCAGACAGTTCTTTCTGTTTGGGTTTATATGCACCTGGAAACTGCTCTGGCTCACAGTGAGGAGGGCTGGCTGTGAAAGAACTTCTTTCCATAACAGTTTTTCATTCAGACGCATTCCCTGCGTTAAGCAGTCAGTTGTTGATGAATGAATGTGAAAGTGTTTCCGTGGACGGTAAAGCTCTTTGGAAATAGAACATCTTTTAAAGAATAAGTGTTCTGTAGAAAGAGACCTAGCTCACATCTTTGAGGGTTTTAAAATCTTGTTGGTACCTGTAACCTTAGAACATATGCATTGTCAGGGCTAAAGATGTTTACGGTTTCCTTCAAACAAATACAGATTTCTCTTCTGTCTCAAAAACTGACCTACAAAAATAATGTCTGAAGCAGACAACTCCTCAGAAAGCAGCAGCCCTGTGCAAGGCACGATTCTCTGCACCTCATAGAGGTGGCACTGCTGCGACACCCCCACCCTGTGGTACTAGGGATTAAACCCAAGGGCCTCTTCCACCCAGGCCCTTTTGTAATTTTTCATTTTCAGACACAGTTTCACTGAGTTGCCCAGGTTCCTCCTGCCTCAGCCTCCCAAAGTGCTGGCATTGCCTGTGTGCCCCACTGTGCCTCCCTGACTCCTGCACATTTCTTTATGTGCACACTCTAGGGGGTTTGCTCTCCACTGCAAACAGGTTTCTACTTGTCAACCCTATTTCCTCCCTTCTCTATTAATTTCCATCATTAAGCTGAAATGGAAATCAGTGTTTTTCTTAGCTGCTCTTCAGGAATGTTCACGGATTACAGCCGAGCGCTTTGCAGACACTTTCAAATGCCCTTGAAGACTGATATTTTCCCAGGATCCATCCTATAGATGCCAGGGTTACTGACAGAGAAGAGGGGTCCAGCCGCTTCAGATTGTCTTGGTGGGGAGGCTCCTTGAAAAGGCTGGGTAGGGTCAGGGTGAGAGTTAGGGTCCGAGTGAGCTTTATTGCAGTGCTTCAGGTCCAGCTCACTTTAGGAAAACTTGCAAAAGAAAAACAATCTCTTGCAGTGAAAAGAGAATTTGGGCACATGCTAATAGTTTCAAACGAGCCGTGGATAGACTAATCTGAGGACAAGCTGCCTTTTAGAAAAGCTGTATTTCTAGCTCTGTGTTCGGTCGGCTCCTTTCTCTGAGAGGAGGACTGGCCTCCCGCTCCCCCAGAACTTTTCCCTCTGTTCAGAGCCTTTTGTGTGCATTTCCCTCCAAAGACGAACGTGGGCTCTGCTTCTGATGCTCATGAGCTCTGCTCTCCCTGGGTTCTAACTCAGCCACCAACTTGAGGGCCTTGGCCCTCGCCCTCTTGTGCCTCTGTGTGGCCATCTGTCAGGCAAGTCAGGCAAGGGCGTGGACACACGGTCGCTAAGGCTCCTTTCAGCTCTCACCGGGATTTGCCACCTGGAGAGGTTTGACCAGCGTCCCCTTTACTGCTGCTCACAGTCTGAGGTGTCTTTCTCAGGAGGCAGGGCCCGTGTGGTGGTGCACCTTCCTGCATTCACTGAGTCCTGTAAGGAGTACAGATGCCATGGCATAGACACTTAATGCTTGAGACAGCAATTCTTACTAGGAAGTATTTGTTTCCATAGAAACATACGGTTCTATAAATAACAACAAAAGGCGGACCAATTAGATTCTAATTCAGTCAAATGAATGGGCTGGGAATGAATTTATATTCCTAAGGCTCCGTGTCCTGTGTTTCTGTCTTGTATGTCACTGTGGCATTGCACACGATGCTCTTTCTGGACATTTCATCCTTCATCTGTCCTGGTGTAGGTACCTGCTCATAGTATTAACAAGATGTCGTCAAGTCAGAATGAGACAATGTTTTTGCTTTTATTTCCCATTCCCTAGGAATGCTGGAACTCTTAAATAGCTCCCCATTAAGGCGGCTCCCTCCTGTCCTGCCATGGCCTGTCACTACGGTGTTGCGTACGTCACACCCCAGTTCTTGTCCACCTTGCCTGAGAGTCCAGTTCTTGTCCACCTAACTGGGTCCAGCTTGGCCATGACTCATCCTTTCTGTGACCTTGACTAGCACTTTAAACCCTGCCACGATGCTGACAGACATTGCGATGTTCTTGAGGTGCCATGGAAATGAAGACAATTTGTTTCTGATTTTACTTCTTTGACCTCGGAAATGAGATTGTTTTGTACCCATTCTTTCCTTTCCAGATAACCAAGCTGAAAATAGACAGCAATCCTTTTGCCAAAGGATTCCGGGACTCCTCCAGGCTCACTGACATCGAGAGGTAATGAGAATTTTCTGTTTACTTTCGTCTTGATAAGATAAAGAGAAGAGTGAGTTTGTAAGAACACATGGGTCGTGACGCCAGTGAACCCTGACCTTGTTCTATGTGGCCTCCAAGTTTCTGTGTCCTTTCCTTCCAGCTCTAAACCCTGCAGATCCACAGCTGTTCAAGTCTTGTGAGCACCACAGCAAACTCTCATACACTCAGTTTCTAAGTGAAGGGATTGCTTTGGTCAGGGCATTTATTGACCGTAAACATAGGGCTGATGCTGTCAAAGACTTAGTCCTCTTGATGCTATAAGCTCCGAGTTTTGATGAGTGGCAGTCTGCAGAGAAAGGGAGCCATGATGGCTTTTGCTTCCGGAAGTGGATATATTTGCAATGCAAAGAGCGCAAGGGCAATTTGGAATTTTGAAACAAGGCGATGTCATTTACTTCAAGGTCACATAATTTTACCCACGGAGTAGGCCACTTATCTTTCCTAGGAGAAGCATCAGATCCCTAAGAAGATACATGGTAATCCTGGATCTGTAACTTACCCCACTTCTTTCAATTACAGTACTTCCTGTGGTTTGAGACCTCCCAGGTGAACCTCATGACCATATCGAGAGCCATAGTTTGTCCAATACAAGTATCAGAAATGTCTTTTTCAAAGAGATTTTCAGCCTGTCCATCACTTGATTTCTTAAGCACATGAGTTTTCTACACTTAATCTTTTTGTGTGGCCTAACGTCCTTCTTGGGAGATGGAAGACTGAGGCTGCAGCTCTCTGAGTCACTGTATCTTCACGTCTTTGTGTGATTTGCCCACCACCTGGGCACATTTCCACCACACTCTGTTACCTATTGGCATGGCCACACTTGACCTGACCTCAGCCCTTCTGCCAGCCTCTCCTGGCAGCACCAAATAAGGGTCAGTTCTGTGTTTTAGCTGCCTCTATGGTTCATTCTAAGCCTCCTCAAGTGGCTGAGCATGGGGAGGTGGCTTGATGGGGTGGGGAAACATACAGAGGCTTGGTGGGGAGGCAGAGGAGTCAGGAGGGCCGATATTGGACACAGCTGTGCAGTGAGTCAAAAAGAGATTAATTATTTAGAGAGGTGGGGGTGATGAGATCAGGGAAAGAGATTGGGCTCCGCGAAAAGTGCAGAAAAGAAGGCACTGGGGCAGTTCTCTGATGAAGGAGTGGAAGTCAGGGAGTGCCTTGTAACAGCAGTGTGGGCGATGAAGGTGCCTTCCTTTAGGAATGACTTTTCCATCCTCTTCTGAGTGTCAGAAGCTCCGACACAGAGGAGTTTGTGCGGCTGGGACGATTTTAAGCAAGCTTTTTCCCAGTTTACTGGGGTTCCATAAGAATGAAGACAAGGCGGGGTGAGCAGTAGAGAGGCACTGTCACAGTGTGTGTCACACCTGTCACAGGTGGATGGGGAGGCTTGCTCTGCCTGCAGGAAATCGTCCTGGGGTGGAGGTGCAGCTCTGCCTTTTCCTGGGTGAGAGATCCTGGAGAAGTCGCTGAACTTTAGAGTCTGTTTCATCATTTAATAAATGGAGATGATAGCCCTGCTGGTTCAAAGGTTTATTGCAGCATCAGTGAAGACAACATTTACAAAAGCGCTCCGTAAATCACAAAATGCACAATAACGCTAAGGTCCTCATCTTATGAGAGGAGCCTGGATTGGTTTGTTCCCCATCTAAGTCTGCTTTTCCTGGTCTTCACGAGCGAGCTACTCCTTGAGTAAAATGGCCTTGCAGTCACACTCGAGGCCATGGGGTGGGAGGACCCAGTCTGCCTGCCTGAGAAGGGCGGATTTGACAGAGCATGGCCACGTTTCCCACTCTTTGAATAAGCGCCCTGACCTGGCAGCTCTCAGCACACCTGGGGGAGGCGAAGTCACTTCAGTGGTCTGAGGGCCAAGGGGCCCTCTATGCCACCAACTGAAAGTTTGTGAGATGACCCAAGGAGTTTGAAACTGGCCAAGGTTTTGGATTTCATTTCCAGGTATTTAAGTCTGAGTTTTTCCTAAACAGCCTTTGGGGATGGGACAAATCCGATCAATTGATCTTTAGAGACCTGAAGAAATTAAATTAGTCTGGAGTCAGTTACTGCACTAAACTGTCTCGTAATTGAATTGCTTCTTGTAACTGATTGAAAACAGCCCTATCTGTAACGATATTGGGAGCTTTTCTTTCTAAGAGATCTGAGAGAAAAACACATCTTTTTATGACATGATGACAGATACTGCACTTTTCTAACCTAATTGAATATGATGTTATAAATATGTGACCTTAATGATTTCAAGTTTCCTGTTCAAGATTTATACCTTACTGTGTGGGACAACTGACCAAAATGCCTTTAGGTTGGGTCTGCCTGCCTGTACCTCGAAACCCAAGTGTTGTTCCTTCTGAACAGGCTTTGTGATACTCTTAAAGGCAGTATGGTTTCTTCCTCTAATTTTACTACATACTCCATGGGTAGCCTTACTTTAAAAACAATTTTTTTTTTCATTGGTACTGTGGATTAAAGCCCAAGCCTTTGCACTCAGATATATCTCTAGTCCTTTTTTATTTCTGGACATCGTCTTATTATGTCGATAAGTTATCCAGGCTGGGCTTACACTTTGATCCTCCTACCTCAGCCACCTAAACTGCTGGAATTACAGGCCTATGCCATGACACTCAGCTTAGCCTTTCTCTTTGGGGACAGCATCTTTCTCATTTGTAAAAAAAAAAAAAAATTCCCCTATCAAAAGAAGAAAGTATACCTGCTATGGTCAGCTGAATAGCAGACTACAAAGCTCAAAAGGTTGCCTTAACATAATGTAACTTCTAGTGATTTAGATCAGGGAATGAATCACCTGTGGGCCCACACAGTAAGTAACCTCAGACAGCAAACCAGGTGGTATTTTCTTGTCCTCTTTTTGAGGGGGGCATTTTTTACAGTACATAGAGGTGCAGTGATATTGAGAGAGGAAAAATAACTGGCAAGTTTTTTATATTGCCCTTGAAATTAAGTTTTTTCTCATTAATTTATTTCCTTTACAAAAAGAGTTCATGCTCATTGTAGAAAAAGTGGAAAATACTGGCAAGCAAGAAAAGGGCAAAATGTAATAAAATCTCAGATGCTCAGAGATAACCACTGGCAAACTCTGGTGTCTATTTTCCAGATATTCTGCTGGGCACTCATAGAATATTCATTTCTTTAAAGTTCACCAAGTCACACATATTTTTTAAATCATTCTCCATGCACCTTTAGATATATATCTGCATTACACTTTGCAGTGGCTGCCTGAGGTTTTTTTTTTATGTACCATAGTTTATTTAACCAATCTCAAATTTTAGTTATTTTTTTGCCCTTACAGCTAGTGCTGGAAGGAAAAATGTCTTTCTTTACACATATTCTTTATTGGGAATATACACCATATATTTGTAGGATAAACACCTACAAATGAACATGTTGAGTCAAAACATGTTCTTTTTTTCCTTTTTATCACAGTTCTATATTTAGCATTAAAAATTTGGGGAAAATACCCTAAATGCTCAATAGTAAGAGAATGGCTTAATAAACTTTATAGTCATGCAATTGAATTTTGTAAAATAGTGGTAAAATACACACGACACAACATTCACCACCTTTGCCATTAGGAAGCGTGCTATTCCGTGGCATCAAGTGCACTGTCAGCATCACGCAGCCACCACTAGGTTCATGCCCAGAGTGTTTGCCTCATCCCAGACAGCACCGTGCACCCCTGGTAACGCTTCATTTCTCCTCCTCCCTGGCCTTTGTAGTCTCCATTCCACTTTGTGTCTCTAGGGACTACTGAGTGGAGGTAGACAAATAAGTGCAGAGAGCCACCTGGGTTCAAATGAGTTCGCCGTGGCCAGGTTCCCCTCAGGAAAGGGGTCTTCATCCACTGCCCATTTCTTTGCGCCCTTGTGGAACACACTCACCATCTTCTCGTCTTTGCCAACCTGAGACATGGCGGAAGTTTGTCTTGTCTTCTGGGAAGTGGCCTGTTTATTTCCTTAGCTTAAATTTCCTTTTCTTTTGGATTGTTCTTCTCTTATTGATCTTATAACAATTATGTATATATTATTGGCATTTATTGCTCTTATTTTTTGGAATTATTTTTACCAGTTTGAAAATTAGCTGTATCCTTTTTTGTTTTTTGGTACCGGGGATCAAACTCGGGTCCTTGCGCTTGTGCAGCAGGTGACAAAACCACTGAGCTAAATCCCAGGCCCAGCTGTATCTTTTTTTTGTTTTTTTCAGCTGTATCTTTTTGATAAGTAGAAGATTTTATCATTGAATCATTTGTTCTCTTTCTTTGTGATTTCCATCCAGAAAGACTTCCCCACTCCCAAATTATTTCACTATTCACCTATAGATTTCATGTCACTTTATTGGTTTCTGATTTTCCATTTAAATCTGTGATGCAGGCAGTAGCTATTTTGGTATAAGATATAAAATAGACATTTCATTTTATATTTTTTCCAAGTGGCTCCAATATCATATACTTACTAATATGTTTATTTTTATAATTCTGTATTCCTCATATACCAAAGTCTTATTTCTGCTAGTTTTTATTTTATTTAGCTACCAGGATTACAGTGCTGTAAACTGGTAGCATATGTAAATATTAGATGATACTGAACTTAAATATCTGAGATGTCTTAAATCTCTGTCCTTTTCCAAGAAAATTTTCAGATTTTCTTGATGTTCTTTGCTCTTTATGCTTCTGATCTTTGGAACCATTTTGTAAAGTCTTCCAAAAATATATCAAAGGAATTTTGATTGGCTTATACAACTACATGTATATAATCATTTGAAGGAGAAAATTTATGTCTCTATAGGATTGAGTTTTCCCTTTTAGGAATATGTCATGTGCTTGTACTTTCACTGAAATCTCTCCTTATATTCTAAGGAGTTTTGGCCCTTTCAAGTTTGTAAGTCCAAGTTCTGCCCATATTTTACTGGGTCATACTTAGGTCTATGAGAGCAGCCCT